TGAGATACAAGGTATATACATGAGGGTTTCCTTGTTTGGATTATTTCGCTCGACGTACCTATGCTCGTGTTGTATTTCCCTAAGTACTAAAACCCATAAATGTTTGTGTAAATGATTTATATTATTATGTATTATCTGTATTTTCATATACAACGAGCCCTATCCCTTGGGGTTGGTTGTGATGTTGCTCGCTAGCGCTTTGACGCTCGGTGTCCTTGGTTGTGATGTTGCTCGCTAGCGCTTTGACGCTCGTTGTCCCTCCCCCTTTCAGGTAACGAGCCAGGAGCCCGGAGAGTCGCAGGTTGACGGCGATGCACTTTAGCTTCAGCCATATATTTTAGTTATATTTCCTTTGAGCTCCACTGTAGACTTCTGTTTAGACATTTGAGAGTTTTATTCTAGAAGTTGTAAAGGCCGTGTGCCTTATTTTCTCTTGTCAGACATTTTGTATTTAAGACTTGATGAGAACTCCAGTTTATTTATTTCAGACATATATTTGTAGATGACGAGACATTAATTTGACCTCTATTACTTCATCAGTTGATTCTTGTATAACTTTTACTTGCTTTGTACTACACCTGTTGTTGATTCCACTAGAGAGATAGAAATTGTGATGGTGAAACATGTTATTGAATGGTGTGGTGCATGGCAGGTTTGACATTTCTGGTTTTACCTCGGACTGCAGCCTTGTGTGAACCCAGGGGCGTCACAAGCATTTCAGGGCGAAATCAGTCCGGTCCTTCAGGTAGAGAGCCTCCTCAGCACCAGCCAGCTATACATGACCCCATTCGAGAGGAGATGGATAGGATGCGGAGTCGCATGGACAGGATGCAGATTCAGATGCACAGGATGCAGTGGCATATACACGAGATACATGGTCAGATGAGCTACTCCACCGAGACCCTGACATATTTGGCGTGAGGATGGCAGAGAGAACATGGAGATACAGATGGGCCTCCACCTGAGCTTCATAGTTTTATCACACCATTTCAGCCAGATGATTTCCCAGGAGAGGATGAGGCGGGACCGAGTTCAGCAGTTGCCGCTGATGATGTGGATGATGATATATCAGGAGATGAGCAGTGAGGGATGTTCTTTTTATTTTACCCAGTCTTTGATTTTTATTTCGACATGTACTTATTAAACTGTGATATTCTGGATATTATTTGCCTTGAGTACACTGCAAAGTCTGGGTATGAGGGTGTAAGCTAGTTAGCCTTTGTTTATATTTTGCTAGTTAGTATTTTGTTTTAGTATTTTTTTTCTTTCTTTCAGCATTTATCTTTTAAAAAAAAATTGTCACTTGCCAAATTAATAGAGTTAAGTAATAATTGATCTAATTGATAGATTTTAAATTTTCTAATTCCTAGTTAGTGACATACTCAAGTTCACCTTTTATGATAACTCCAAATAAAATTCTTAAGAAATGATTTTTCAACTAGTATACTTTACTTAAGTCTTACCTTAGATTTTTAATTAAAAATAATAAAATTTTTGCATGCTTAACTTAGAGTTGAAAATATTTTTTCAAGTTATCTTGATTTACACATTTTTTCAGATTATATATACTTACACATATATATTAAAAAAAACTAACCTTATAAAAGAAGAGTGCGAAAAATGGGCACAAAAAAAAACTATTAAGTTCAAGGTGATTCTATCTTATAAAGCTTAAATTGACTGAGTAATTAAGCCCAATGAGTATCTCTATACTTAATGATCTAAGCCCAATTGGGTTGGGATTCATTGGCCCAAAACTCGTTAAATGGTCACTTAGAAAGCCCGTTAAAATAGAAAACAATCACCAAGAATTAGAGAGTGAATATATATATATATATATATATATATATACTTGGCAAGTTGACCGAATTTTGTGGGTATATTCACTGCAAACCCTCACGAGACTACAACTCGTCCACTAGGGTAACCTAGGGGTTTAAAGGCTTGTTGTATACGCTAAATACAACCGCGATTTCTGCGAAAGTGCGTTAGGATTTTATTTTTTTTTTCTTTGCTAGAGGACTAGCAAAAGTTTAGGTCTGGGGGTATTTGATAATCATATTTTATTGCAATTTTATACCCTCATTATCTATTTTATATGAATAAATATACCACTAATAATTGCTTTTATCTTTAATTGCAGGTTAATGAAGAATAAGAGCCCAAACTCTCATCTCTCAACAAAAAGCCCTTGATTTAATGAAGAAATGAAGCCCATGAAGCCAAAGGAATTCTTTCAAATATTTAATAAAGAAATAAATAAAAGCCCAGTGGAAAAATCAAGAGAAAATGCCAAAGCCCAAACGTACAAGCCCAAAAGTCCAAGCAAAGCCTAACGTCCAAAGCCCAAAAGCAAACAACAAGAAAGTTCTGCGGACAACAATTGGAGAGTGGCTCACATCGATGCCAGCATCGATGGGGGCATCGATGCTAGCATCGATGCCCTTAATGATGCCAGCATCGATACCCCTATCGATGCTGGCATCGATACGATGTACAGTTAGTTACGAATCTATGGCTGATTTTTGATGTTTTTGGATAAGATTTCGATCCAACGGCTCTCATTCACTGATGTTTACTATAAATAGGGGTAGAGAGTGAGGGGTTAGAGGTGTGAAAATTTGCTTGTCTTGGGACTCAAGTTTGATCCAATGGCTCTCATTCATTGATGTTTACTATAAATAGGGGAGAGAGTGAGGGGTTTAGAAGTGTGAAAAATTTTATAACTCTATTTGGAGAGGAGGGCTACTCTTAATTGAGAAGGCCTTCCAAAAATTATAACTTTTGTTATAATTAATAATAATAATTTTTTCCACTTTAAATTTTTCTTTTCGCCTCTTTGTTGAATGATGATGATGAAGATGAAGAGCAATTTGAAGGTTTGTATTTCTTTTCTCTTTTATTTCTTTTTAGTAATTTCTTTATTATTGCTTATTAGTTAGATTTACATTCATGCTTGTTGTGTAGATTTTTTTTATTTCTTTTTGCACTTTATTTTGTAGAGTAGATTTATTTTCTTGCATTTAATTTTTGTAATTTATTTTGTAGTTTTAGATTTTAATTCTTTGTAGTTAGATTTATTTCTTGTTCATAGTTTAGATTTTTTTTTCTTTTTGTAATTATTTATTTTTTCTTCTTGCTTTTATTTCTTAAGATGTGAAATTAATTCTTGTAGGAATCTTAGAATTTTATGAAACTAGTCTAATTTCTTTTATATTGTATGAATTATTCTCTTTCACTTAAAATATTCATGTTTAGGATAATCAACTAGAGAACTAATCGGTAGAAGAAGAATTTGATAATCTATGCTTATCTTAAATGGTTTGATAGGTTATGCTTATGAATTCTAGGATTACTATCTTGTTGTTATTTTTATCATAAATAGTAATTATAACTTAGATGATAATTTGATAGGTTATACTTTTCTTAAATGGTTTGATAGTCTATGCTTAATAAATCTTAGTTGAAATATGATAAAAAGAGAATAGTTTGTATTTTGTAATTGAGATTAGCTAGTAGATTAAATTCTAAATTTCTCATATCTTAATTGAATCCTCCATCTTTTCTTTCTTGAATTTTCTTTTCATTCTTGATTTTATTTCTTGATTTTATTCATTCTTCTTTCTTGCCTTATGATTTCATTTATTCTTTGATTCTTATTTTTTTTCTCTAAAATTCAATTTATTATCTTTTACATATATTCACAACAATCACTCATCACAATCACACTTATTTTTTAATCCTATTTTGTCACGCACACAACATAAGAACCTATTCTAATAATCTCTTAAAATCATCTTCCTCGTGGCATCGATAACTTTTTATGCTATAAATTGATCAATTGTGCGTTTGCAATTTTGGTACATAATTATGCCGCATCAAGTAGGTCGTGGGGACCGAACTCCGTAATCATATCGTTTGTTTGTGATTGCATTGGCGCACTTATTTTTATGTTCATATCTTATATCGCCTTTGTTTATTGCTTGTTGATTATATTGTTCACTATCTAGTTTAGATTGTTTACCCTTGTGTTAATTATATATCCTTGTATATATCTCATTGCTAGGATATTTACCTTTGTTCATATTGCTTATTCTTGCTTGTAACATATTGTATATCTCTCTTGCAAGAATAATTTGTTATTAATTTTTAATTGGCATAAAATCGGATTAGATTAGCCTAAGACCCTAATCACCCCCTCCTCTAGGGTCTAACACTTCTTTGATTAAGATGGTCATTTTTAAGTGTTTCTCAAATTTGTGTGCTAACTTTAAAATTTAAGTGTTATAATATTTATAGTTTTTCAAGTTAACACTTAAAATATATAGTTATTTAAAGTTAGTATTAAAAAATGGTCATTTAGCCAAATAAAACAGTCTTTAGGGGATGTAACATATTTGTGGAAGAAGAAGAAGAAGAAATAGAGATGGTTGATGAATGAGAGAAAAAATGGCGTATGAGAGACCATGGCGGTGGAAAAAACATAATTATTAGTTTATTTTAGACATCACGTGTTAACTTTAAAGTTTACATCTTATATTTAGACATTTAGTGTTAAGTTTAACTATTAAGTGTTAACTTTGACAGTTAGGTGTTAACTTTGACCACTGAGTGTTAATTTTAACTATTATAAATATTAACTTTAGCAATATGACTTTTAAAGATGATCGGGTTTAGCCAAAAATAATAGGCTTTGGATGATGCAGCAATAATTATAGAAGAAGAATGAGGATGGATGGTTGAAAAGAGAGGAAAAATGACGCAAGAGTGGCCATGATGATGAAAAAGATAATAATTAAGAAATAATGAGCTGAAAGAGAAGATAATAGTAACAAAGATAATAGTTGAGGAGAAGGAGGTAAAGAAGGAAAAACATTTCATGGGATCATTAGAAAAGTAAAGAGAGATGGGAGGTTGAGGTGTGATGGTAGTTTAAGGATAAAGAAAAGCCAATAGTTTCAATGCTCCCAAAATTATTTTTGGGAGCATCATTGGTAAAAATGTAAAATACATTCAGGGGCTGTTTGTTTGGTCCAAAAACCATAGAAAAAGACCCCTAGAAAACTGACAGAGGGTATTTTTCATAATTTCCTTCATAATCAGGTGTTTGTTTTGCAAAAGATAAAAAGGAAAGTGAGGGAAAGATGTTGCGCCAGCTAGATATTTTCCCCATAAAATTTTCTCCTATTTTGAAGCCGATTACGGAAGAAAAGTGCACTTTTCTCTCTCTGTCCGAATCTAGGGCTCTCGAAATTTTTTTCTCCGCTGCACCGCAACTTGTTTTGGTCACGTCCTCTCTCGGATCATGCACATCCTCTCGTCCACCTTCCCTCTCGCCGTGAAAAGCCCCTCGTCCGCCTTCTCTCCCGCCGTGCAAAGCACACCGACGAGCTGACCCCAGAAATTTCTCTCACCTCTCTCTCTTGGATCCCCAAAACCCTAACCCTATTTCCCAATTGCTGCTTGGAATTCAATTGGAATTGATCCTCTAGTACGTTTTCAATTTTCTGGCTCATCTAATTTAGTTTTTGCCGGTTAATTTTGTGTTTAATCTTCTCTGTTTACGTTGATTCTCAATTATGCTATAATTTTGTATTAATCCTCAATGTTTGTTAATTTTTGTCATTTAAATTTGAATTATAACCCAGTGAATGATTTGTTTGCGAGTGTTATACGTGTATTCATTTGCTAATTTTTCCAGCAATACAGAGAAATTACTTGTTAGTTTGTAGAATTCTTAAAATTCATAGATAATTAATATTTGTTTTTTTTATTCTTAGGGTATATCATCATATTTTACTATGGCAGACAAACCAAGGTAAATTTTAGATAACTACCGTAAACTATGAGGGTGTTTGTAGGTGGATACCCCAATTTATTTTTGTCAGATAAAACTCTCAAAATTTTCTTTCTCACTAAACTATAATGCATAACCACTTAGAGAAAGTTATCACATGATGAACATGAAATCTCTTGAATCCTATTACAAATAATTATTTGATCAAATTGTTTCACTTGGTCGAATGATCACAGATTTCCAGGATCGAGGTGATGCTGCAGGTTCAGCTCCTATAGAACACAATGGTGTTCCACTGGAGACTGGACAATGACATAGATATCGCAGTTGAGTTTGAAGAGGATGAGGAGGAAGAAGAGAGCGATTATGGTCAGATACATCTCTTAACGATTTGGCTAATTCAGAATACTATTCGAAAATTTAAATATTTTTATACGACGGTTGATATATGTTTACCTCTCAATTTATGTTGGAAATAAATTATCCTATAAGAGTAGTAAGCACACCATGATGACCATAGTCATGGTTTCTTTTTTTCTTTTCATTTGAACCGAATATTAGAAAATGAAGGAATCTATTCACACATCAATTGTTTTCTTCTTTTTTTCAAATTGAACCAAACTAAGAAAAGTAGTGAAAAATACTTTCGCACCATATTTTTTGACGAAACAAATACAAGAAATATTTTTCATGAAAGTAAATGTAACACAAAAAAGTAAAAAAAAAAAAATCTTTAGAAAAGAAAGGAATGCAACCAAACAGGACATCAGTAGAATTCGCTCTCTATTCGCCCTTTTATCGGTGCGACACTTATGTGAAGTTTTGCTGGCACTCCTGTAATATTTTATTATCAAAGAGTTGTTACAAAAGTTGATTTGTCATCTTCTTCTTCATCCGCGTTTATTGTCCCCTTACCAAACAACCGCTCAAGTACCCAGCTTCTTCTCAACCAATCCTATTTATTAATTAGAAAAATTTCTTCGACCAAACCAATTATCTCTATTTTACCAAGATTTACTTCTTTTTCCTTCTTATTTTCTAGGTTTTCTTTCATGATGCTGATGGGTGAAAAGAATTTGATAAATTTGGTAGATTTTCTATCAGCAAATTTTTAAAGCTTAAGAAATGGATTTCAAATTACAAATTTTTTTTTAAGATAAATGGGTCCAATGAAACCTTGATCATCTAAATCAAGCCCGAATCAATAATAATGTAACACTAGATAAACTCCAGCTTTTTATAATAATGCAAAAAAAAATTTCTTTGCTGAGATGGCAAACATGAAAAAGAAATTCGCAAGGTGGGAAACACATCGAGAAAAGTCAAGACGTGTAGCTCATGGGTTCTTAAAAAGGGGCATAGACACAATTGAAAAAAGGAAGGGTGGACAAAGGTAAAAGCCCATAAAATCACTGGATATCTAAAACCAACTGACTACTCACGGTAGGGCCCACTTGGCTAGGCCGTCATAGGCCCAGTGGAGTGTTGGACCCACTTTAACCCCTTTGGCCTCGGAGAGCGGTTTGCCACGTCATCATGCCCCGTGTTCCCGCACGCCTTTCCTCATTTTTAGATAGGACAAATTTTCAAAACCAACCCATTTGATAAACTATTCCCAAAAAAAGACCCATTTCAGTTTTATTTGTAAAAACCGACCTGGTTTCAGCCTCAGCGCTGAAACCAGGTCGGTTTTTGAAAAAAAAATTCCGAAACTTCACGGGAGTTCAACTCCCGTGAAGTTTTGTTATGTGAAAAAACTTCACGGGAGTTGAACTCCCGTGAAGTTTCGTAAAGTTTTTTAGAAAAACCGACCTGGTTTCAGCGACAGTGCTGAAACCAGGTCGGTTTCTCTAAATAAATCCCAAATGGGTCGTTTTTTGCAATTAGTTTATCAAATGGGTTGCTTTTGAAAATTTGTTTTTTAGATACTCAGGCCCGTTGGTTCGAAATCATTACTTTTCCGACACAAACTATCACAAGAGGCAAAAGTGAAAAATTCAAAAGTAAAAGTTAGAATCAATAACAAAGTTACAAAACCAACCCGCACCAACTTTTCACATCTTACTACTTTTGTCTCATGCCCAGCCACCCCCCCCCTCCCTCCCCCTCCCCTCCCTTTCTCAAATAATTTATCTTTACAAGATTATGTATTGGGGGCATCATAAAAATGGACAAAATAACCATTTTCTCTTAAACTGTTGATAAATTTTTAAATTAATATTTAAAGTATCAATTTATTTATTTTGCTTCTTAAACTATATTTATGGTTTTAATGTAGACCTTTTGTGAGTCTATAATTAAATATTTAACATATTAATAACGTAAAATATTTTTTGTATTTCTTCATGGGCTATCATTAGTTTCTCTCTTTTTTCCTAACAAAAAAAATATTTTTTTAAATTATTTTCTTCCAAAAATTTTTACCCTTTAACAATTTTTATAAATTAAAAAATTATTTTTGAGACTGCAAAAAATACAATAAATATAAAAAAATATAATAAATGTTTGGTTGTAGGCTCACAAAATGATCACATTTAGCACATATATGTAGTTAAAAGAAAAAAATAAGCAAATTGATACTTTAGGGGCACAAAATGATCACATTTAGCACATATATGTAGTTTAAAGAAAAAATAAGCAAATTGATACTTTAGGAGCAACTTAAGAGTTCACCAATACTGTAAGGAGGAAATGATTATTTTGTCCTTTTATAGTCCATATCAAAATATATAACTATATCTAATGTGGATATAGTTACTAAATATTTCAATCTAATAGCATATGATTATGGATATGAATATATAGTGAACTATATAGAATCCCTCTCCAAAATTTTGGAATATATATTATTTTATAATTTTTTGACCGTTAGCTTAAGGAGTTTGAGGTTAATCTTGATGATCAAAAGTGCTAATAATCTTAGTTTTTTTAATATAATAAATATATTAATAATTGCTCTTGTATCAAATGCAATATATATTTCAGTGTTATTTGTTTTTTCATATCCATTTTGTATCTACACTTATATCCACATGTACATTTGTATTTATGTCCAATTTTAGTGGATATAAATGTAAGTTTCCTTTATAAAGATATATCCATATCTTTATTTGTATTCATGATTAGTACGCAAATACAGATCTGATAATTATAATATATGAGTAGTAATTGATCTGTCTGCACCGCTAATTATATACCTTGCTTTCGTTAAAATAAAATGATATCGAGTGCTTTAATGCTCGCATTGAGAGGGGGGGAGGGGGTACGCATTCTAAATCAAGAAAGATTTAGAAAACTTATATAAACATTTCAGTTTATTTTTCCACAGGTTATGATATCTTCATTGATTTTTATAAATTTTGGGTGTCTACTGTTGGGGTTGAAACAGCGACAACCCGTGCCCTCCGGATCTTGTGTTGAAAGAATAGCAAGCAAGAAATTACAGCAAAATGAAAAACTTACAGGAAAAAATAAATAAAAGAGAAGAGAACACCAGATTTAACAAGGTTCAGCAAACGTGCTTACATCCTCGGGAGCCACATAAAAAATTCTTTAATTATTGATGAAGATTACAATGCCTGCAAACAACTATCTCTTTCTCTAAGATCTCTGATCTTAAAGTACTGGATTTTCTCTGAAAATCACTACTAAAAACTCTCCTTAAAAAATCGCATAAAAAATGGCGGTCAGGTTTCCCTATTTATAGGGAAACCCTAAAACCGAAACAGAATAGAAATCTGTTTTTCTGCGAAGTTCGCCTGAACTGCGAAGTTCGCCTGCAAGACTTATGTTTGCCTGAACATAGTCAAGTTCGCCTGGAGTGGAGTTCGCCTGAACTGCAAGTTCGCCTGAACACACTACTTTGCCTGCATGCCAACTTCGCCTGATTTCTTAACTTAGAAAATTTCTATTGTGTATACTTGTTCCAAGGTTTGGGTCTATACCACAAAACCAACAATCTCTCACTTGGAGACCAAACCTCCATAAAAAACGAACTCTCTCGAACTCCCTCCTTCTTCCCAAGCATCTTCTCCTCCCCGATAGATTTTGTTCTTTAATCAACATCATCTCGGTGACCCCATCTGTTCTCTTAGTGTGGCTCCGCCATCATTTTCTACTCGTGAAGGCCAACTGAAGTTGTGCACAACTCTAGTTTCTCGACAGTCACTGTCTTTGTCAACATATTTGTAGGATTTTGGCTCCCCAAAATCTTCTCCAACTGTAACTTCCCATCCTCTATCAGCGAGCGTATGAAGTGGTAACACACATCGATGTGCTTCATTCTGGCATGATATACTGGGTTCTTGATAAGGTATATAGCACTCTGACTATCACAATAAAGAACTCCGTTCCTCCGCTTCAGACCCAACTCTTCTAGACATCCGGTCAACCAAATCATCTCCTTACTGTTGGGTCCTTTTGTTTTGATGATGATTAACAAATAATTTACATCTAATATTGTTTGTCTAGTGTTTGTGTTTTGTATCTATTCTAGGAAAACAATATGTCAGAGGACGGATGGTATTACGCTTCAACGATCATATCCAATGGAGGTTGGCGGGATTGTGGTATGAAGCCTATGCAATTCAAGTTCAAGATTCAAGTTCAAGCTTCATCCACAAGTATACCAAGTCGAGCTTATTGAAGACCTTCATCAAGCTTGGGTATATCTAGTTTTAGGTTTTATATTATGTGTGCTAGTACTTTAAGCTCAATTACGTTGTTTACATATATATACATGTTTCATATTTATCATTTTGTCAAATGCATATTGTGCAAAACTTTATTTTTGCATAATATTGAGTTTTTGGTTTATAGACTTCATAACAATAGTTTACATCTTTCTTTAAGTCTATAAAATTAGTTTACAAAGCTTCAAAAGTTTGTTTAAATCAATATGTCAAAAACATGTATGTTTAGTTTCATGTTTTTAGACATTTTTGCAAAATGATGATATTTTATAAATGGAAGGTGATTTTTGAAAACCAATTTTTGTAACATGTATATTATCATGTTTACAACAATTTCCCAAAGTTTTATATTTTTCTGATTTTATTTGCTATTTTTAAAAGATGTTTGAAAATTAGATTTCTGTTTCAAAACAGGCTGATAACCTGTTATCAGTCGACTGGTCAGTCGACTGATGACATCAGTTGACTGATGTGTCGACTGAAGAAAGTACCTAAAATAAAAAAAAGTTTCTGTTTTGTTTTGGTTGACTGACCAGTCGACTGATGAGGTCATTAGTCGACTGATAAGGTCCGTCAGTCGACTGATGAGATGGAAAATGCTTCTAACGGTCAGCTCATCAATCGACTGATGAAAGCCGTCAGTCGACTGATGCAGTAATAGCTAGTTTTTTATTTTCGTTATTTTTGTCTTTTTGCTAGGTTTCACTTAGGTTTTTGGGGTTATTTCATGAGCCTATATATACCCCTTTTCCTCTAACATTCTGCCGAAAAAAATTAAGAAAAGTTTTAAAAGAGGTTTAATAAGTTTAAAGGGTGTTTAGTGTTTGTTTCAAGTTTGAGTT